TACGACCAGCTACACCATCATCACCCTCAAAGATTGACATCAGAGCCCAGGTGATTTTGGGGGATTTTTTATTTCACATACAGGTGTCTGTCAACAAAAAAGAAACTAAAAAATGCTGCAAAGCACACAATGGGCTGCCCCTGTCCATCAGACCCATCTCCTCCTGTCCACCGACACAGGACAAATCCCACACCTTCCCAGCTCCCAGAGCAAACAAAAACCCGACAAGCGAGGAGACGGGCCAGAACCACACCAGTGCTGCTCAGGGCCCTCCAGCACGGAGCAGACTGGAGATCCGACTCGCACGAGGGAGCAGGAGGAGGGGCGCGCCAAGGGTTTGGGATCAGGGAGTTTCCAAGACAACAGCACTGGCCTGTCAGTCCTCCTCTGTCTGATAAGCCCCTCCCCACACCCCACTGCACCCCTCCCTCTCCACACAAACGGGGAAACTCGCAGCCCCCCGGCTCTGCAGACAGACACCCAGGCTGCAGGCGGAGTTGGGGTCGCAGTTCGTGGCCGAGAGGACAGAGGGGAAGAGAGAGACGCGCTGAGGCTGGGAGCCCCTGCTCCTCTCTCACACAACCATCACATTCAAGAGGCCCAGAGCAGAACCGAACTCAAGTTCACCTGGGATCAAAATAAGAGCCGACAGCACAAAGAGACACCTGCTGCCTAGAGGCGTCTGGATTCCCAGCTCTACTCCTCTGCAACTAACAGGTCTTCAATTATTTCTGTTCTCTTTGTACTTTCTATATATATATATTTAAAAAGGTTTGATTGTTAATTCAGTTATTCACTTTTATTACAAAGTGTAAGTGTGTTATCAAAGAGTTGGGATGACAGTAGAGTGCAAGGTGACCTTTGATCTTTGACCCTGCAGGCAAGCCACGAGGGGAAGGCCCATTGGGGGGGGGGGGCAGCACACATTTAAAAACCAAAAAACAAAACTCCTCACACGACCAAAAAACAAAACCGCAGCTTTCTGAAAGATATACAGTACATCTGTGTTTGGAAAAAAAAGGTGTTGCTTCCTTGTTTAGAAAAAACGAAACGAAAGACGGGACAGGCCAAGCCCAGCGGTCTGTTTCAGGAAGGGCGCCCGCAGTCAGCTGGGGACAGCACCTCCCGGTGGGCACACCCAGACTCTGACGCCCCTCTGCAGAGGGCCTGTCTGTCGCTGTTGGGCTCCAGGGCCGGGCTGGGCCCCCTCACCGCCGGGGCGAAGTCACAGTGGTCTGCAGACTCGAACACAGTGATAGAGACAGAGGGGGCACAGGGGTTCTGGAGGGCGGAGCAGGGAGGGGGGGGACAGTCAGTGGGAACCCCTCAAAGACAGGACAGGGCGGGGTGTGTGCGTACAGCGCATGGGTTCGGGGGGGGGAGGGGCGGGCGGGGGGCATTCTTGGCTGTTTCAAGTCAGGGATGGCGGGTCAGCAGTCAGAGGTGAGAGGCCGCTGTCCAGGGTCACAGCTGAGGTCAGATCCGGGGAAGCTGCTTCTCGATGAACTCCTTCACTGCCGACATCTCCTGCGTGAGACAGAAAGGGTTACAGCAGCAGGAGGAGGAGGAGGGAGTGAAGCGCACAGTGCTGTCAGAACAGCGCACACAGGAAACACACAGCTGACCACACACGGGGCAGGGCAGGGCAGGGCGCTGACCTGCGGACAGGAGCTGTGCATGAGTCCAGGGAATGTGTGGAAGGAGATCTTCTGCGGAGAGACGATGCTCTTGAGCTTCTCAGCCGTTAGAGCACCAAACTGCACCGGGATCATGGGGTCCATCTCCCCATGGCACTGCAGGATCGGGGTGTCCTTGTTGGCGCTGCTGCTGGCGGCCTGCGCAGCAGACAGAGACAGAGTGGCCGCGGGTCAGCGGCTGGACACAGCGGACATGCTGGACACGGACGAGTGCCAGGGAGAGAGGACAGTACCTGAGGGAAGCTCCTGTGCAGAGGCAGCCAGCAGCTCAGCGCCACGACCCCGGCCAGCTTGAACTGACAGGTCAGAGCCGTGTAGAGAGACAGGGCGCCGCCCTGAGGCAGGGGAGAGAGGGGTTACACGTGAACTCCGGAGAAGAAAGGCCCCAGCGCCCTGAGAGAGACCCCCCCTCCGTACCTGAGAGAACCCCCCCAGCATCACGCGGTGAGCTGGGATCCCGTTCTTAACCTCATGGTCAATCAGGGCCTTGACTGCAGACAGACAACGGGACAGGGTATTGATCGGATTGCAGCAGCACACAGCCGGATTGATCGGCTTGTCCCCAGCCCCCCCCACTCACTGTTCTCAGCCGCCTTCTTGATTCCAGCTTCATCTTCTGGGGACTCTGGGCTCAGCCCCATCAGGTCGAACCTGCAGGCAGACAGACAGACCGTCAGGAGAGCTCCGGGACACAGGCCGTTCCCGACGGGCCATCTGGAGAGCTCCGGGACACAGGCCGTCCCAGACGGGCCATCGGGAGAGCTCCGGGACACGGGCCGTCACCCAGATTCAAGACAGGCAGACAGACAGAATAACTCACCAAGAAGGCATCACCATCTTCATGTTGAGAGTGACTGGGATTCTGGGCCTGTAGAAACAGGAGATTGGGAAATTCCAGGAGACTCGAGATGAGAGAGACAGCACTAACGCTCACCACCAGCTCAGACACACACAGGCTGTTCGCAGTCACCCCAACACTGACAAACACAGGACAGAGGAAAGAGCGTGTCGCCTCTCTCCGGCGGACAGACAGAGGAACAGACACTCACGCGTGGGGACAGATGTACTTCACATAGGGCAGCCTGATGGAGGTCATGGCATCTGCCCATCCATGCCTGCGAGGGAGAGGAAGAGGAAGAGTCAGCAGGGGGCGGCCGCGAGTGCGCTGGTAATGCCCAGACTGAGACGCTCAGACTCACCCTGTGTCTCCCAGCCCGTGGAGGAAGATCACCTGCAGAGGGAGAGAGGGTTAGAGAGGGTCACGGGAGTCCGGCCCCACAGAGCCGTTAACAAGCGCGACTGGACCCGGTAAAGACCCCGATCAGCCCAGCCCAGGGAGCAGCAGGGTGCCGCCAGGCCCGGTGACCCGCTTGGTTCTGTGAGCAGTGGCTCAGCAAGGCTGGACCTGAACACCAGTGTTCACTACCGATACCCCACCGTCCAGAACCGCAGCAGTGCTCCGGCTCCGAGCAGAGGCAGCAGTATGAGCGCTCTGCAGACAGGGGGCGCCAGGGGGCTCTGTCCTCATGCTGAACGCCGGCAGCCCGGTTCTGGTGGCCGAGTGGCGCAGCGCGCTGAGAGAGAGGTCTGGCGCCTCAGCACCGCGCAGCGAGCGGGCGACGGCGGTAAGCGGGCCTCACCGCGGCGGTCTCCCTCTCCGTCCCCGACACGGTCACAGCCTCGGTGAGCAGCGGAACAGACATGTTGTTACCACACATACACTGGAGGGGGCGCTGCAGAGACACAGGGAGAGGAGACTCGCTGAGTACACGCCGCTGGCCTGCACACACACACTTCCTGAACACCGCTGGCCTGCACA